GGTCAAATTAGCATTTTGCCATACATGTCGGTATATGTCGTAAAAGTTAACGTCACTGGTGGTCACTTTGAGTCCGTGTCGTTCAGTCGAACACGTTCAGAAACGGGAAAAAATATAACTTGTTTTATTCGGCCGAATGACTTCATCAAAGGTATTGGACAATGGCAAAAATTAACCGAGCTGTACGTAACATAACGTAAGCTTGCCGAAACGTGACCTAGTGACCACGCGTGTCCAAGCGTGACATAGCGTGACTAAGCGTGGCCAGGCGTGATTTGCGTTCACGTCGTGTCAAGAGAACACCAAATGTGTCGAAACGCGACGAAGATGAACAAAGCGTGATAAAACGTGACCAAGCGTGACTACGCGTGACCTGCTATAAAGGCGTTACGTGAAGTCACCATAAGTGTCAAACTACGACGAAAATTTTAAAATTGTGTCTTAGCGTGACCTTGCGTGCTCAAGCGTGACAAAGCGTGATAAGGCGTGACTAGGCGTGACGCTCTGTAAGGGCGTGACGAATGATGACCTTAAGTATCAAAAGTTCACGACAATTTTCAAAACGTTACTTAACCTAACAAAATTCAGTAAACAAACTTAACCTAACCTAACCTAACGAAACCTAACCTAACCTAACCTAACCCAACCTAACCTAACTTAACCTAACCCAACCTATCGTAACCTAAACTGTCGTAACTTCATCAAAGGTATTGCAAAGTGGCAAAACTTAACCTAGCTGTACGTAACATAACGTAAGCGTGCCGAAACGTGACCTAGTGACCACGCGTGTCCAAGCGTGACTAAGCGTGATTTGCGTTTACGTCGTGAGAAGAGAACACCAATTGTGTCGAAATGCGACGAAGATGAACAAAGCGTGATAAAACGTGACCAAGCGTGACTACGCGTGATGTACTGTATCGGAGTGGCGAGATGTGGCCAGAAGTGTTGTTACATGACGAATATTTATAAAGCGTATCAAACTTGACTAGACGTGACGTACCGTAGCGCGTGACGAATTGTAGACATAACTGTCAAAACTTCACAACAATTTTCAAAATGTTACCTAACATAACAAAATATACTAAACAAAGTTAGCATAACCTAACCTAACCTAACCCAACTTGTCCTAACCTAACCTGACGTAACTTCATCTAACGTATTGCAAATTATCAAAAATTAATCGAACCTTACGTAACATAAGGTAATCGTGCCGAAACTTGACTTAGTAACCACGCGTGCCCAAGTGTGACATAGCGTGACCAAGCGTAACTCCTTCCTTCATTCAGTGGTCCCCATACTGGGCACTCCCTACAAGGTCAGCGGCCATAATCGGTGGGTCCTGTTCTAGATACCAAGATTTCAAAGCAACATTGTCCTCATCTTCATCGCTGAACTTCGTCATCTTTATTTTAGCTGAATTTTGGAGATAGAATTCGGTCGAATTGTTACCAGTAGTTTCGGACGACGTAGTTCTGTCTCATTCGGGCGTTCGCCACTTCAGCCTTCACAATGTCAATCCTACCCCAGGCTAAACCTACTGGTGTGGAATGAATGCATGGAAACAGATACCCGAAGCAGCTCTATGATTCTTAACCGAAGCGTACAACGTCCGACATTCCGGTGGAATGAAACATCTTAATATTTGCTGCAGGGACAGTCAAAGTTGACGAGCGTCACCCCGTAGGCTGCTGGAATATGAGCAGCTGCTATTGAAGGAGCCAGGTGACAATTATCTGCAGTCTGTGTTCCGGATTTTCATTTGAACAGACTCAGAAGAGGTTATCGAATTACGAGGTGTTAAATTAATGCCGCTCGAGAAAGGGAAGAGAGAAAATGTATAAAACGAGTCGGGGTGACCAACCGTGATATTGAAATGTCTGTTTTTAACAGAAAAGTGCGCTAGATGATATAATTATTTCTATTGCTGCATTACGTCTGGAAACGAAAAGATTATAGTATGTTATGTAAAAAGGAATGGTACGTGTTATTTTGTATGGGTATGAAACTTGGTGCCTTGCTCTAAAGGAAGAACACAGTTGAAGGTATGTAATAACAGGTTTCTGAGAGAATATTTTGACCTAAGAGGGAGGAAATAACAGGGAGATTTATAATTTTAGATCATCAGTATACTTTTCGAATTATTTAAGCGAATGGAGTCTTTGGATTACAGCCAGTGCAGAAAGGAATTCACCAGTCCGTCGATGTTTATGAAGCCGGTGAAGTGATATTTCACTACGTAACACTACGCTACGACGTATTAGTGGTGGCGGGATACCAACCCTCTGTTACCTCATTGCATAAGAATACTTACCATGCCGTACTTCAGTTTTAGATACAAAAAACTTTGGTCTGAATAGCTAACAAATTTGCAGGAGTTTGAACAAGGTGCGTTCTGAATCCAACTTCAGAGCTCTACCGCCGTGCCAACCTGCGCAGTGTTAGGAAGCCAACAAAATTTGTCCAGAGAAAGTGAAAGTCAAGATGTACATGTATATTTCTCTACGCATTGTTTTAATAGTATATCAGTTCACGCTTAAATTGACAGTTTTGCCATGAGAGGAGTGATATTTTAGTGTTACACGAGAATTAATGCAGTATAGCGACTATGGGATATTATAACCGTTAAGCTGACAAATTTGGATTTAATCCAGTGCTTCATGCGCGTTACTTCTTTCATGGGCTTATGTCACCGAAAATTCATTAGCTTTTGCCATCTTAATTTTCGTATATCCGCTCTTTTATTTCAGGATCAGTGTCAGTATCTTATCCACGGCCACGGTAGAACTTGCCGTTCTGGTTCACTAAGTTGCGTTTAGTGACTCGCCCCCACCGTTTTGACTCCGGGAATCATGGAAAAATACATCTCGTGGTGTATTACTTGGAAAACCCACGGGCATATTATACGTTTTCCGTTTTCGACACATGTAGCGATTCGCAGGAACGTAACTCCCGTGTATAATGAGAGCCATCTTTACTACAGTGTAATACACACAGAAATTTTTAATTAATTGTTTATAATTATGCACGTATTATACTGAAATTCCCATTTATTGTTAATGTCATTGTTATAAAGCTATTTGTACTGAGCAAATACAAGGGAAAATTTATTCATTGGGCATTTTCCAAATGTCTTTCTCTATGTTTTGTAAGAAACACAAGCACAGATCTGTCCGTCTGGCTTGCTGAGTTGTCACCATCGGTGGAAAATTAATGAGGATGTGATAAGGATTGCAAGAAAAAGCATATCGAGGAAGACATAAATATTATATTTGAGGCTACGACGTTCAATCCCCTCATGTATAACAATCAAGTTTTAAAAAAAGAAGTATGGCGGTGGGGCGTGTTACAATGCCATACATTTCTTTACTCACTTCGATTATACATTTTTCAAAAACTAAAACTTTAATTTTCTTTCTTTCATCATCAACATTATATTTCTAAAACTGAGTTCTTTAGGGCTGAGCGGTAGTATGGTCACAGTCGATTGTTTAAACGATGTTGATATTTTGCAGAAAGAAACAATAATGTAAGCAGTACAATATCGATATACATTCCAATCAGCCTTATAGACAAAATAACAGTTATTGATAAGTATTGATTTTACATCAACTGGCCCTTACATTTTATTTTATTAATACTTCCTCTTCTACTTTCAGCTACATTAAGTCTACATCTGAACTGCAAAATTATGACGCGACAGTAAATTAATTGAATGTAACGTTGTTGTGACATTTTCTATTTTCCACATGATGCACATTCGACAAGAGTTCAGTGCACTGATGTAGTGCAGCAGTGAAATTACGGGTCAGACAGGATGTTTAAAATTTCAGTTCCCTTCAGAACTACATTTTATATCTATTTTGGTACTGAACATAACCTGGCTTACAATTGCGGTACCCACGCGATGAATAATTTAAAGTGGATGTCTGTGTAGTTTCCTTGGAGAGGGAATTACATTTGTATACCTCACATCTCACTGGTTTTGGCTGCCTTGTGTTTATATTATACTGAGCCCTGGAAATGTCGTTTAGTTTATAACATCATACGACAGACAAGGGCCAAAGACCCAACACTCCACATCACATGAAAATAGTCTTAAAGAATGCGAAGTAGATGAAGCTATCTCAGAATAGGTTCCGGTGTCAGTTTATACTGAAATTTCCAGTCCCGTAGCAACAAGTAATGTTTTCAATAAATAAATGTCTATTGGTTTTGATATGTATGGATCCACTGCAGTTATCAAACTGCTCGTTTTAAACATTATTTTATTTGCAAGCATAATTTAAGCGAGCGGTGCCGAATCTTGTCACGTGATATCCAAACTGTAAGTAACGTTATGTGCAGAACTTACTGGCGAATAATTTAAGATATCTGACAGATTAGAAATTCGAAATTTATCATATATAAAACAATGTGGATTCTGGCATAAATGTGTAATCTTGTTCCATCTGAGTTGATGCAGTACAATGAATTTGAAACATAATCCATCTGTCTTTTAACTAAAAAACATTCCAATGAGTATTTCGGAGTTGTAATGGCCACATATGCCTTTCAGAGAGAGAGAGAGAGAGAGCTACGGTCTGAAATGCACAGACATTTTACGTATTTCAGCTTCATGCACAACGCGAGCAGATTAAAACGGCTCTACGAAACAGCTGATAGTTCGTCCTCGTTCTGCAGCAATTTAGCTTTTATTTCTGCGTGTTTTTAAAAGCTTTACAGAATATGATTTGCAATCCGTGACACCGTGCCTTGTAATATGGAATTTGTTTTCGTTGTATTGGTTTTCCTTTTTTAAAAAATGAAATTACATTTACGTTTGATTGCAGTGGCGTTTCTAGGGTGCTGCATTAGTCACTGCATGTAAGTTATAGATGATTGCAGTGGCGTTTCTAGGGTGCTGCTTTAGTCACTGCATGCAAGTTATAGACGGAAGGGCATCATAATTGAATACTGCATCCAATGAAGAACATCTGTTAGTATGAATGAAACTATACGAAGCAGAATATTACAAGTATTTATTTAACTACGAAGAAGTTAGTTTCTGACATATTTTATATATAGTCAGTGAAAATATTATATTTATCCTAAATTACTTTTGTGCGTTAACCTCTAACATACAGTTTTCGGGTTCAATTGTGAATACTGCTCATAGAAGTAATATAAGAGCTTTAGGATAGAATACTTGAGCTGGCGAACTTAATTGCCGTTTTATTCTTAAAAGAACCCAAACTAAATAATCTTGCAGCCACACGTTCTGACTCTAGTGAAAGTCTTGTGTGACAGCAATCAAACTTGATCCGATACAGCTCCGTCTTTAAAATGATTGTCTAAACTACCTGGGTTTGATTATCGACAGGGGAATGGATTTCTTTTTCACCACGTCCATACTGGATTCAGGATAAACCGAGTCTCCTGTATAGTGAACTACAGGGATAAAGCGGACAAAACGTGAAACTGGAAACTCAACTTTTATCTAGTGCCGAAGTCTAGTTTGGATGAAGCTTCTAGACGTTAATTCCTTAGTACTTAGTCACAGGGACAAATTTACTGACGTAACAACCACAAATTGTTTTCAAAAAAGATTGTTACGTCTTTCCTTTCAATTAACACTTGAAAAAACGAAAGTGAATTCTGACAGCGAAGCGATTTAAATGTAGAATTTATAGCATGGGAGTCATGTTTCAAGTTGTTCTGATATGTAAACTGTGTAGTGTGGTGTTATCTGCAAGTACGTCTACCTGAGAGCTGCCTAATACCAGATGGCCCATATTTTGTTTAGCATATTTGTGCTCCGTGTTTATATATTCTGACGAAGGCCAGTGGTGATCATCGATCCTGTGAGGGCGCTGAAGTTCCTGGATAATAATTAGAATTGTGAGTTCGCATAGAAGAATTTAGATTATTATTATAATCATTAACCTTGGTTGGAATATATACGCTGCAATTCTAAATACACCACCAGCTTTTGTGAAGCCAGTTATGGACCGGTTGATGCGATTTTAGACGAATTATAAAAACTATGATTTAAAAATTATTTAATTTCCACTGTATTTTACTATTCCTTGGATAATATCATAAGCTACTTTATGAAAAGGAAATTCCCGCTTTAAGAAATTGTCTTTATGGTTTAAATTTTAATTTTAATTTGTGGAGGTATTATCTTGTTGACATCGCCAAAATTAAGGTGACTGTCTTTTGTGATGCTCTACCATGTAGTCTCGTAGGAACTGACCAATGTTTTGAATGTGCTTGCTGCTTCTATCATCAGGGCGATGAGTTATCGCATATCTGAAATATCGGTCAGTTTCTACGAGACTAACCGCATCTCAGAATACAGCCGTCTTCATATTATCCGTCGTTATAACTTCAAATATCACTCTTCAAAATTAGGTTAGTCTTATATAATGTAATTATTCTGACTGAGGTTGCAGATTTAAGAGGAAATGGGGTCTCCATTTCGCCACAATACTTCTACAGTCATTTTGAGGAGAAACGACTTTACATTCGTCAATAGCCTATATTCCTTAGGACATAGGTTCATCTGCGAACAGCGAGACCCTTCTATTTCATACTAATGAACTCGATTCTTTTATTAACTTACTTCAGTAATATGTTGATCATTTTCCACTGTCTGAGACATGTAAATTTATCTCAGACTATGGGCAATGCCCATCATGTTTGTGTAATGAATATTGCCATAAAACATTAGAGAGAAAACGTGTTTCTGTTATGTATTTCCTATAGACAGTTGACTAGAACCTTCTTTTTGTGATGTTAAAGTTTAACAGCATGTGCTTGATAAGGTGTAGCGGTCCACTGTTTGGAATGTACGTTTCAAGGGGTCTGGATGCCATAACAAGGCAAAAGATGTACGTGCTACGAGGATATTTCTTTGACGGACAAGAAGTTCGTCATTATACCTTTTTATAACAGGAAAGAAACCTGAAATAGAACCGCCACTGCAACAAGCAATTCACATTAAAATTTGGAAGAGGAAGCCGGAGAAATCATGTGGGCCGTTGTGTGTTACCATAGCAACTCCGCCACACTCCACTCCGTGAAAGACAAGTGACACTGCGGCGACATGTCAGCCAACTCCATACACATGATACCAATCACATGTCATATTTTTAGACACGGCAACCAATCACATGCGCTCCAGTCAAATGGGAACCTATCATGTAGAATCATACAGCGACCAATCACGTAAAATCTATTCATATAATAACAATGCTATGTCAACTGTATTGTTATGTATGGTCGTATGTGTGTTAAAGAAGAAGAAATTAGTTATCAGCTGACAACCAATCACATGATTAATCCACACAAGAGACAAATAATTGCACACAAACAACGACCAATCGTATGATTTCTGTCCAACATAACCATCAATGGCACTAGTTACATGTCAATTTATGACCAATCATACGAGGCCTATTCTAAATAAAATAACCAATTTTTATGAGACATGGAAACCAGTTCCTTAATACTAGTAAAATTAATCTGCTTCCATCATGGGCACCAACTACGCGGGTGTGGTGGGGGTCGGACACCTGAACGGTTTCAGGGAAAGCTGAACACGCCCTGAACTTCCCTTACCTTCATTTTAACTTTTTACCCGTTTCCCCCTTAATTATTCTGGTAATAAACTTGAGTAGGTAGTAATTTGAGACTATAGTTTTTGTTGTTGGACGTTTATACTTTCCCCGTCTCCTTATTTTTGATAGTGGAGCCGGTTGGGTTGCGTGTGTTCAGTTTTGTTTTGACTAACGAGATTATCGGAACTCAAGAGCGGCAGGGGCGAATTCCTTGTTTTGTTCTTGGCACAGACTCTGTAGCCAGTTGCGTTTTGAATCATTTCAAATTGTCTGAAGGGATTATTTGAAATACAGACCTGGGAACCCCCTGAAATTTTCAAAAGTTGGCGCCCTTGACTTCCATGCAGGCGAGCAAACGCTGTAACAACGAATCATATGGACTCTTAAGACGAAAACGTGTAAAGTGAGGTATAAACTTATAAAAAAACGCTATAAACAAATTGTCACTCTGATACCTGTACACTGCCTGGGTTATGCTCTCGTTTTGAAGTACTCATACTAGAAAATTGTCATAAATCTAAATCCTGCGCCTGATTAGTCAACAACACTGCGAACCTACTTCCCTCACTAATATAATTCTATAATCAACATAAGAGCAATGTTAAATTGAATGAAAATCTGTGTTCCTGACAAGATCTGTTCTCAATTCGAACAAAAAATATTGCAGAAATTATTTTTTTATAACTGATCTGAGACACTTGTGCACACACCAGGTACGTGAAGTTTGTATCTCGGTAGAACGTTTGTCCTTTGCGATGGCAGACGACGTTACGTGACAGTTTCAATTGTTCGTGGAAATGATGGCACTACATCCATTGATTTAGCCGCCTTACCAGTCATTTAGGGTGTTTATACCGCGAACAGGTTAGCAAGGCTGTGTCCCACAGCTGAAGCCATCCAACCAACAAAGAAGCTAAGTCAGGGCAGGGTTTTGCGCGAGCTCATAGCTGAAACTGTTAGTGTGTAACTGGGGATATGCTTACGCTAACGGTTTTTTTTATTTTTGCCTTGGAACATTCAAACTAGGGGTTATTCCTCTTGGTCGGAGGTGATCTCATCAGGCAACGTTTCCTTTATGAATAGGAACTTTGGTTGGATGTCTGGGAGTTGAACCCAGAAGGGTTGGAATCGCTTTGACTGAAGGTTTGACTTCGGGGGCTGGGGGGAGGGGTTGCTGAATGCAGTACCCCTTTTTAGTTATACCCTTCAATTTGCCTTATAAATGAGTAAAAGCAAAGAAACATCAGTCAGCTGAAGCCGAAGCGCATCTAAATATTTAAATATTCAGTCCTTACGTCAAAGAAAACAACCCATAACTATTACAAAGATCAGTGTGTTAATATTGTTTATGGAAATAATCTCTGTTTACTCTGAGAATCATATGAAACCAATAAATTCCCTTAGTAGGAAAACGCAGAATTATTTGTTTGTTAATGGAGGCGGTACATAGTTTACATTAGTTTTTTTAAAGATTAGCTATGTTTTTAGAGTTGAAGCGAAATGTCGTGAAATATGTCCTGCTTATATAGACTCTTTTTATAATCTTTCCAGGAACGCGACATCAGTGTTTAAGCTGAGAACGCAAAAGAATGGTTCCCCTTCTACAGTGCGGTAAGTCACGTGCAAGTCCTTTCCATCTTATTTAAGAGTCGTGTATTCGTGAGAATTATTGGTGGGTGTTTTGAATTGTCATTTTATGGAGACCAGAAGATTTTTTTCCGATTCACGGCGATTATCAGCATATACGTTAGTTTACCTGCCAAATAATTATACCACTAATCACACGTCAGTGGGAAAAACAAGACGTTCATTAACACCCCATTTATAAATATATTTTATTAAGGAAAAGCTATGGTAAATACATGAACTAAAACTCATATAACTTCGTGATGGAATCAGGTCTCAGATAATCAAGCAGTCTTGGTATGTTGAGTATTTTCTATAAATTTACGTCTTTTACTGTAGACCCTGTCGTTCCGTCAGTAATTTTGTTGTATTTCGTCCATTCACTGTATTAATTTTTGTTTGTCACGAGAAGTGCCTTAAATACGTGGTTTTTAAAAAAGGTGACTTTTGGTATATAAAATTTTTCTGTTGAACATATTGACTAGTGGTGTACAAATGTAAGCACGAAGACCGAGGAACTACGGATAAAAACGTTCGTTGTCCTTCAGAACACATTTACTCCACGAGACTTTATGATGGGTGTTTCTGTTACTTAGCTATCAGAAGACTCTTATATATAGAGTAAAATGTCAGTACATACAGCCACTTTATGTGATTGCAGATTTAACTGGATTATCTGTACATCTTCCCTCCTTCCTTCCTTAAAGCAGAGATTTTTTTACTGACGTCAAAATTAACTGGTTGGACGCTTCGTACTAAATTACCAAGCGCCTATTCGTAGTTGAATGTGCAGTTCAAAGCGCATGTTTCAGCCGTTTTATGGCCTCAGGAAATACATATGTGAATACATGATTTGAAACCGTTTGAATGCGTAGTTGAAGTAAGAGTTAGTGTCATGATTTCGAATGCTTGTTACTTCATATGATTCGTTGCTACTAACGCATAAAATAATTAGATGCATCTGCAATTAATGTTACAGTTCTTTGTATGTTTAGTAATTCCATGTTATGCCATTGATACGTAGTCTGCATTGCTACGCTGGACTTCATACAGGAAACACAGGATTTATACTTTCTGGATCATGTGATCACGCCGAGAACAAATTAATCACGAACTAATAGTGACGTCTACTTTAAGAACTTTGGTTAGTTTGTTTTGGCACCATTATCTATGTGACACAATGAGACTGATACGCCACTAATACTTGCTCCAGAGGTTCTTTTAAAACAGACCACAGAGAATAAGACGTATCAACGATAAGATTGCGACACAAAGGCTGGTACCCATTTTTCTTAATGAACATTTGCAAGGCGTGAGCCTTAAAGTGACTTACTTTCGGATTACTTTAGGAAATTTATAGACATTGAATGAGATTCACTTGTCGTTCAGTGTTGAGGTATTTGATTTCATAACATGTAAGAAATGCTTTGTGTTATATATTTTTTTGCAGTATCAATCTTAGAGCTGATATATGACAGAATGATTATGTGATTCTAGCTTACTCAAGACCAGTAAGCTAGATTTTGATTTGAGCGAAAAATATTTCGTCGCCTCGGTGAATTTTCAACTCGGCGAGCTGCCTGGCCACAAATGAACTATATCATAAGTATTATGCCACAGCTAATATCCCCTTTCCACCTGAACGCACAGTTACATTATAGGGGATGGATATTGAAGAAAATTAGGAAGCCCGATGGGGAGATGAGAACTAGGAAGGTAGGGAAAAGAATAACCAGATAGAAGAAAATGAGAAGGTAATCAAAGAAAAAAATATTGTGTAAAATTGTTCTTTTGGGCTTTGTAAATTGTCCAGGTGTTCTTAAAACCACACATTTTCGGAAGTTGGTTCTATCTAAACTGTTGTATTCCCTGGTTGAGCTAGTCTTTCACATTCATTTGATGTCAATATATTCTCCCTCTAGCCTAGTGGGTGAGTCAAAAGTAAACAGTTAATGCATGTAATTTTGAGAGCCAGCCTTAGTTTTGCAGTATTACGATAATTTGTTAATCTCGTGTGACCTGTCTCACCAATCAGTAGTTCACAACTGGGATTTTTGTGGTAAGAAAAATAGGAATACTTTTCTTACTGTGAACCTCTGTGAGCGAGTGTTGATTTTACACTTACATGGACATAACAATATCGGTAACATTACCAACAATAACATAGATTATATATACACACCCAGACACAGTAGTCATATATGGAAAATTGAAAGCACATTTTTGTTGTATCATTATTATAATATATAATACTATTAATATTTGTTATATTAATAATAACATTGTTATTTGGTATTCGCTCAGTATCCGTACAGTCGAACCAAAAGTTGGTGACAGTGACAAGACTATTTTGAAAGTGTCCTGTCTGAAAACTTGAACATATCTCTCGGTGTTTGTCCAACATCTGGCAGGTACTGTACGCACTGCTTTTGTTTAAAACCTACAACTAGTTAAATTATTACGTGACCCCAATGCACGAGAATTGTCAATTTTTGTTTTACCCTTGCGTTTATTATCGCGTTCAGATACGCATTCTCTTTGAAATGGTCCTATACTGGAATCGTTCTATAGAAATACATTTAATATCATTTCTTGTTTAAATATATTCATGTAAATAATTATATTTTTATATATATATATGCTGTTTCAATATGTGACACGACATTGTAATTTATATACATAATAGTTTTATATTGGGTGGGGGAGGTTTGAGTGTGGGAGTGATTTTTGAAAGACATGAAGTTACAGACAAGAAAAGGCTAAACTCCCCTCTTCTGCTCTAGTTGAAGCTATAGGCTATTTGTCATCTTTACACAGTTGTGAAAGATGACGCCACTACATTTTGTATCTTTGGCATTATGTTGAAAATTAATAATTATATCGAAACCTATACGCAAGAATGTTTTCGTCTCCGTTCCTCAATGCCTCTTCTTGCACACTGATTGTTTTCACGTAAGGTAAAAGGATGAGAGTTTTAAGTTTGCAAATTTGTGACGAAAATATTGATATCGGTGCTGTAGTTACAATCCTGATTGTTGTAGCTTGTTAAAACATGCATTTCTTACAATTTTTGTACCGAACATGATCTTCGGTTTTATGAAAGAATTCTGATATAACTCTTATGAGTTAATGGCGTTTATCCTACATCTGTAGACTGAATGATTTTGATTTCTGAAGACGATATTCCTCCACGTTAGCAACACCACTCTTAATCAAGTACATGCCAATCGAGGAAGATGTGTGACTTGTCACACTGGGTTGTTAATAATATGAGGTCGGATTACTTATAAAATAACAAAACAATTGGTGGACGAGTTTAACTTAATCGTGACATGGCATGTAACGTGATGGTTTTATAAAACATTGAATAGTTTGTCCACTTCTACACGCGGCATAAAATAGTATAACCGTAATAATCCATTCAGTTAAAAAAAGATGCAAAGAGAAATTGTCATAAAGAACTTTCACACCGATACAATAAAAGCGCAACTTCACAGTATAAAGTCTTTATCCGCATTAGTTGCCATGTAATTACGCCTCCTTGATGATTAATTTGATACAGGTTGACAAATCTTGCTTTGCTAATTTTTTCAGATTTAATACAAAAGGGTGAAGTTATGTTTCATAAGAGCAACTTGGTTTCTGAACTGGTTTTGCATGTACCGTGTAATGGTTCCTCCCACATTTAACTTCTGTGTCTCATAGACCGTATGTTTCATGTTCCAAAGTTTCCATTTGTACAGTTACTTGCCCATGTGTAATTTGTTTCGATGTACTGGGATTTAAATATCCTGAGGCAGAATGAATATGATTTTCTGAACACTGCCCAGCCGCGACTCCTCATAACCTGTTTAGGCCTTTCTTGTGAGTTGTCGCCATGCTGCACTGTGTTATCACTTGTTCTGGTTCTGGAGACTCCAGTTCTCATCGCCAGGACTTACTGCTCCATGGTGCTACAGGAGCTCCAGTAGAAACAGGCATGACTATATTCGTTGTTCTGCCCCTGTCAGACGTTCATAGCGTAGTATACAGACGCGGTTGCAGCATTGTTGTCTGGAACAGCAGCACTTGTTGCTGGAGGCTGGCCCTGATACATTGCGTCCTGTGGGAAGCTAGGTGAGCAGCTGGCTGCACCTTCTGGAACTCCCCTCTCCCCGCTAGCTGCAGTTGTCCTGGTCGGGGAACCCGCATTGAAAGGGACTGGCGCGGCAACCACAGCAGCAGGTACGGGGGAAGTCACCATCTTGCCGGAGCTGTAATTGGGCTGCTTCGTTTCGGGGTATACCCTACCGCCAGCGGACGACTGAGGCGGCTTTAGACCATCACCTACATAAGGCCTGGAGCTGGGCATCGAACCTGGCGACAATGCCTGTGGAGCGCTGTTGGAATCGGGGATGTATTGCATGGGGCCGCGGCCCTGTTGAGGCGAACCAGAGAGCTGGGCAGCAGACTGTGGGAGGTATTGCCGCATGTAGGCGCCATTCGGGTAATACCTCGCATTAGGAGGCACTTGGTACAGCGAACCAATCGAACCTGACAGGGCCGGTGTCTGCGTTCCGCGCGCGACCACATACTGTGGCCTTGTGGCAAGTAATGGGGAGCCCCTTTGGGGACTCTCATTGCCACTGCGGGTCAGCAAATGCACTTGAACTGGGGTACCGCTAGGGTAAGGCACCCGGATGGTTTGCTGCTGTCCATGGCCCACCCTGATTACTGATGTCGTAAGAGGACTTGATCGCGTGGAAGACGAGGCTTGCGGGTGAGCAGTGATGCTGTAGTGAGGGTCTACAATTGCCGTAAGGTTCGGATCGTTGAACGTGGATAAATTGACAACGCCGGTACTGGGGTATCCCTGTGGAGGCTGATGGTGGTGGTGGTGGTGGTGGTGGTGGTGGTGGTGGTGGTGGTGGTGGTGGTGGTGGTGGTGGTGGTGGTGGTGGTGGTGGTGGTGGTGGTGGTGGTGGTGGTGGTGGTGGTGGTGGTGGTGGTGGTGGTGGTGGTGGTGGTGGTGGTGGTGGTGAAGCCCTACCGGAGATGTGGCAGACGCAACAGGCGATATCCTCATTTGCACAACACCAGAAGGTGGGGTCATGCGGCGCCCATAAGTCATTAGATTGGAGGCGTTGCGGTCTAGACTTTGGAACCCACCTGGGTAGTGGTGGTACTGCCCTGGCGGGGGAGTGGAACCATCAGTTTGGATCACAGACGCCATGACATCGTTAGGGGTAGGGTAATTCCTGGAAACACCTGGTGGGGGTGGTGAGTTTGATGCCGCAGGATACTGGAGATGTTGTATGGGGGGTGTCCTCGTGCCCGGTTGCTGGTAGTCCGCACAGCCGCCACCTATCCTCATGATTTGCTGTTGGGTGGTCGAGGGACTGACTTGCTGCTGATAGGGGTACATCACCGGTTGCATGTACCGCCGGTCTTTCCTGTCTGTGGGCGACATAACCTGCAGGATTCCTGAAGGACTGTAGTTGCCATAAGGGGGGCCCAGTTCCTCCTGCAGTGGCGGCATTACTGCTGTTCCTCTCCCCAACGGCACACGTCGTCGAGGCATTCCACAGTTTTCACCCGTAGGAGAGCTCGACTGTTCGGGATGCTCCTGGTAGGGCCACGTGACATGACTGCGGGCCTGACACGCCAGAAGTGCAGGAGGCTGGAGCTGAGACTGCATTTGCTGCAGTATTTCTGTGGTAGATCCGAACCGGGGCTTTATCCCACGAACAGAAGGCCGTCGGTTGAAGCCGTAGTCGTCGTGCTCGTCGTCGTCGTTGTTGTTGGTGTCGTTGTAACGCTTCTTAATGCGTTCTATGCGCCCCGCGTCCTGCTCGACGAATAGCGCCAGCTCATCTACGGGAGTGGAAGATGACAGTGACGTAGGGACGGCATCTTCTGCCCCGCCCCCACCTGGTGTTCCGGCTACCACGTCTGGCTGTGGGGCACCAACCTTCTGGTCGTCGTTTACTAGTACCTCGTCAATATCATCAAGGCTGTACTCCTCCCCTCCAGTCATTGTACTACAACTAGCAACCGACATCCTGTCCCCCGGTATAGCAACGGACAGTGGTGACGTCACGACTACCTGCTGATGATAATAGTCGTCGCCACCATTCTCACCTTCAGCGTCATCTTGATCCCCTTGTGCAGATCCAGACGTGACACACGCTGCTAATGGCGCTAAGGTCGACAAGAACTGTTTTCTGGCTTCTGACGTCACGCTCGCACGCGACACAGCGCACTTTGGACCCACAAAGTGACTTTGTTTATGCTGATCACCAGGGCTTGTGGCCGGTGCAGGGAGACCATTACCAAGGTCCAGAGGTACTCCTTGATGATGGTGTTGGTGATATGGTTGTCCACTCCAGTCCGTATGAGCGGCCGTGTCGTCGGATGTTGCGTTGGTCTTTCGCGCGAAGAGGTCCGTCAACTTTTTGTATGTGGAGGAACTAGTCGACGATGAGGACGTAACAGAAGCAGATGAGGGGGATGTCGCCTTGTCGGCAGTACTCCTTGAGGTGATATATTCTTGCATCGCTCTCGCGGACGAATCTGTGGGCATCGGTTTACGTGTCTCCTCCCCCTGAGGACTTGCTCTTGGTGGGATAGCCGTGTCATCTTCGTACACTTCCCCGGCCTCTCCAATTTGTTCATCCGCAGTGCCCACTTCCTCGTTTTGCTCATTTTCGTCATCGTCCAAATCACAGGTGAGCCTTCGTATCCGCTCCTCGAGGGAGTCTTCCTCATTCTGTTGTATCCTTGTTTTCGCCGCACCGCCACGCAAGCGGTATTTGTTGCCAGGTTCGTATCGCAGCAAGTTACGCCTCAAAATGTTTCTCTCGATGGTTCTGCGTATCTGTGACCTCGAGCTGTCATCGTCGGTGTCGCTTGTTACAAGAAGCGACTGGCTGTTGCCGTGTTGGCCCTGAGGGCTCCCGCAAGCACCGTAAAACTCGGCCAGCTTCGTCCTTTTAGCTTCTTCAAACATTTTCAGGGAATCGGCCGTAACAACAAACTGGTGCTGGCCGCCAGGTACCACTGTTTCGATTTGTTTGCCACTGTCCGCACCTTCTATCGTGTCTTGAGAAACTGGTTGTTCGTCAGATGTTGATCGGTTATGTAGTAGGAAGTTTGACGGCACAGGAAAGAGTTGTCTCACTGCTGAATTCGGTCGCTGTAAACTGTTGGCTACTAGTACGTGGTGCTGTCCCAACTTGAAGGTGAGAGTAAGCTCTGTGCAGTCTGGCGATGATGCATCCTCCACACGCACCTCATCGGCGATGCGATTCTGGGTGGAGGTCGGTGCCGCCTCCTCTGCTGGCTGCGGAGTTGCAGCCTCCTGATCTTTGATCTCGGCTTCCTGATCCGAGTGATCCAGTTGTTCGGCTTGTTTTCCGCCGTCTTGTTTCTCGTAGAAGCGCACGGACCTCTTGTCGACCTCGTCGGACGGCTCGTCTGCCTCGCTCAGCGACGTCTGAGGAGACTCGCTAGTCTTCCAGAGCTTTCCTCCTTTAAGAATGCCACTTATATTGCTGTCAGTGTCGGGAGGCGGCGACCGTGTCCTGCGGGGTCCATGGTCCGCCTCTCGTACGATGCGCCTCTCCGTGACCGTGGTCATGGTTATGGTCTCCACGATGTAGCGCTGCTGCTGTTGAGACAGAAATCTTCCCGCTTCTGAAACACAGTGATTTTGTATCATTAATAAACTTGTGTTTGTGAGTGGTAAAATGTATCCCCTCTGGTTTGACCTCTAGTCCACCTCGGTCTGGTATCCCAGGAAGAGAACATGTTAGGTACTCGTTGCTGACATTGCGAGCAGAAGTATCTAATTTAGTTTGAGATAATAGTGTCTTTCGCTATACTGTAGTGCCTTGGCACATAATTATTTAGAGAATTCTTGGACTTAGATTTGCCACCACTGATTTACACACAATAAAGTGTTTTCAACCTTTCAGCCCAATTTTTGAGTCATAAATGACACATAGACTATCGAGTTGCAAACTATAATTCCATAATCCTGATCATGTGAGTACAATATATAAGTTAAATTCAGTAGCAGCAATTCCCTTCAAATTTTAAATTGTTCTTTTCTGGTCTGTGAAACAGTATTAATCTTGTAGCTGGTTACCGACATTTCAGATGATTGTATTGCCTCCATGTACCCTGAGGATAGAGGCAGTATGTTTTACAGAAACGTTGACAATCATCAACAATAATACACGTTGCCCACAGCCGAGAAAATACAACGTGAACTCTGAATGAGGTGAAAAACCGATAGCCCGAGAAGATCATTGTTAGTCGCTGTGAAAACTCTAAGTAGTCTAAGTATGTATGTTGTAATCAATAGCAGCGTTAACATTTTTACGAGTGTCAACCTGAGGATGATCGTGTGCCGGTCGCCGAAACATGCCGTGGGAGTGTAAAATGCAGGACGTAACAAAAAGAAAGTTAGTAGAGTGTAGTAAGATAAAAATATTTATGAATATAAATGTTTGTTTTTCCCGCTTGAGTATAACAATGCAAAAAACAAAGGTTGCGCTCCAACCTGCAGAGGTCGTATGGGAAACCGCCGGGTCTGCGCCGCGGACCGCAACGTCAGTCACAGGAGGAATCTTCCCAAGTTCCGATGTCGTGACGTCATTGTCGGATCGAGCTTCTGCTTTGACGTCTGCGTCTCCTGAAACAAGGAAATTCTTTCCTTTGAGAATCGGCCTGATTTCCCGATCCACAGAATTAGAAATTTTCATTTTCCTTTTTATTTTGTGTATTGAGGATAGGAGGTCGATTTATAAAGTGCAAATGATGGGGGACAACCTGTCGGAGGCTGGATAAACTATGCTGCATCATGACCTTTCTACGAAAAAGTCTCAAAGCTGTCTGACGTTCAAGAACAGACTGCTCAGAAAAATAAACATATTAGCACAGTGCCCGCAGTGATACTGCAGCAAAATTCGTCAAATGCTTACACATTCGCCAGTCTTTATTGCCCGAAAGCTTATCATAGACCTGATTATTCGGTACGTATGGTGGAATATCATAGAGAGAAATTAACCCTAAACCCAACATATGTACCGGGACTCGAAGCCAGAACAATTTTCTGGCTTGTGCCCTTAGTTCCGTCATTTCCTTAAACGGACGAGAAGTGAAATGTGTGTGTGTGTATTTATTTATTCTCCAGTTGATATTGATTTTAATGATGTGAACCATGCGTGACAAATTATGGAATATATACTGATAATTATTATTTATTCCGGAGTTCTATTTTCGTTCATCTGGCTCTTTTTCTGTAATATGAATACCTTCAATGTTATTTTAAAATTTGTTCTGAATATTTCGTTCAATAAATGGAAAAAGTTTGTTCAAAATTATTGTAATCGTAACATATTTTCCCGGCTACCTAAATATTAACAAATTCCATTTTCTAAACAGCATACAAATAACGCTAACTTTTGGTTTTGTTAGATTGTTAGTAAGTTGAACATCTATTATGTTTAATGAACGAATGATTTAATACCGTTACCAAGCAGAGTATCTAACACAAATTTCAGATTAGTAGTCCGACACTGTGAACAACAAAAGAAATTAAATTTGAACATGCTTATAGGAATATAGTCTTAAGTGGCGCATTTAATCTTATCAAGTGCATGTGCATTGATCTAGTTCACTTTATGGTACTGCTTCATTTAATGTGTGGGTACGTGATCTGCGTTATGTCTAAACTGGGTTTCACGTTCTGCGAGAATCACTTCATCTATATTGTTGATCCAAACCTCCTATGAATCATTCATGAGTTTTGCCAATCCTCCCAGGAAGATACTGTCAGAAGACGCTTATGTCCGAACAGCTACTAATGGATCTGTACAAATGGAGCGAAACAGAAGCATAGGTATTAATGGATATGTACATCTTACAGCCCTCTGTCGTGGGAAGGAAACAAAAGGCAAAGGAATCACGTCCATGTTGTAAACATACGCCAAGCATCTGCGTTTCTTGTGGCACTACTCCAAACATTATTGTAATTAATTTCAAGTCCGTCGTTTTGAGTCTTTCTTGATAATTTCAATAGAGCAAGACGACACATATTTTTCAATGTGATTTCGTATACCACTTAGGCCTACACTTGTTGCTTATGTAAACCTAATGTTGCAAGACAACACAATGTACAGTCATCCGTTCTCCTCGTTTTTATTCGAATATTAACCATAACTAACTCCACATAGCATCGTCCAGATTGAGAAGCTATTCAAGAAATGTTTTGCCTTTTGTGGAATTCGAAGTTTGATTACCGGCTTCGCCAGACCCTGCCGCTGGTCCCTATCCTAAGCCAAATAAATTCAGTCCACACCCTGCAACCCGAGTTCTGTAAGATTTGATCTAAGATTATCCTCTGAGACAAGCAGAGATCTTTCAAGTAGTATGTTTCTTCACTTCAGGTTTCCCGACGAAAATTGGATATAGGCCCTCCTCCTTGATTTTAATCTCCCGATTAATATTTGGTGGAGAGCAGGCCTGTAGATGATGGTTGATGGTAAAGCGTGTGTATTTGAATAACTGCAAATTTTTTGTTCGAAGAACTGTGTTTGTGAAAACTTGTAAAAATTCGATTTGAGTTGTATGTAAATAAATTAGGTTTTATTATTCCCAGACAATGACCAAAATTAATTCACCAAACAACTTTTAGTGTCCCCCCCCAACCAGTGTCAGATTTCATCAACACTGTGTTGTGTATTTTCAGAAATGAAATTGACTTGCACGAACTTGCAATCAGTTTTCGTCATATGCTCTTTATTGAAAGAACGCATAAAAGGGAGAAAAACATTGAATAGAAATACTGAACTACTTAGAAAGAGCTCCTGTAACAAATGGTACCGAAATCCGTCATACACGCTTGTAAAAACAAAGGCACAAGACGCTTATAGGCACACGGGATCTAAAAATGCCACATGCCTACAAGTAAAGTACTAACCTAAGTGGGCCTGTGTATTGTCCATTCTTTATAAAACATGATTTTAAAATCATGGCCCCAGCGTTGCAGTGTATAGTTGGATAATTCACGCCGCCCAGTACAGTTTCGTAATAAATAAATAATAAAAAAAAGAGCTCCAACACAAATACGCAACGTCTGTGATCTAACCGAAGTGGTAATTTGCTCTTATGGAAAAAAATTGAAATATACGACTAATCTGTACACGAAACAACGCTCTGAAAATGCATTTGGCTTCAACAGTTTTGCTCGCCACCAAACTTCTATTTTCTCAGGATTTTTACTTATAACAATTTGAACGAACGCTGTCGTTCGTAGTTTCCAAACACTTGCCTTTGCTGTGCGCATTACCAAATCAGTTTTAACCATTTTTAGCAACATGCGTTTCATATTATTATTAAGCCAAAATCTAAAAGGTCAAAACCAGTAAACTACGAATTAATAGGATTTAAGGTTCTTACGGCGTTGAGTACAAAGATGGCTGTCTTCTGGGTTGTAGCGCCAAGTACTTTAGTAGAAATATACCAACATTTAGAAATCGATTTCAATATCATCTATTCGAAGAAGAATGGCTATATTTTCACACAGTGTAAGAAAATGTACAGTAGAGTCCAGATTTTCCGACCTTAGGTTATCCGACATTCGGAACGCTCTATTTTATCAGGTCAACTCAGCATGTGACTAAATTAATAACGGCCTCCACCACGTACCGCTAAATACTAGTTGATTTTTCTTTTGATGCCATATTGTATTTTCGAAGATATTTTGTGTTATAAATTGAGTTATATTTGTATTTTCATTAGTGTTTTAAATTATCCAACCGAAATATTGAATACTGCTGCATCTTTATATTATATTTTTAGTGCAAGAAACTACGTATCAGAACAACGGGGAGAGGGAAACTGTTTTATACGTGTGCGATTATGAACCAAGTATCAGGAGAAATGTGGTTTACGAAACACGTATTTTACCGAGAGGCTCAATGGATTACGGTGATAAATAACTTGAAGTATTAAGGTGGATTCTGCAGTAAGTGTCTCGCAGAGCGTGTCTGGAGTGTTATTCGCTTATGACAGATTGGTAGGTAACTTAGTGTCGCTACATGAAATTGAGGTTATGTACTTTCAATCTGAACTTCGAACTGGAAAGGAAGAGAAAAATGGCAGATCTGTTTTATGGTTCTACCATGTATTCGCTTGGAGGAAATGGAGAAAAGATTGAACATTTCTGTCAGTATAGCCAACTTCTGTAATTTATCTACAGACTTCCGAAAAGAGACTTTTACGCTTTAACGAATAGTTAATTTTGCGACATGAACTTCATCGTAATAGCGAAAGAAAATATTGAATGTCTGAGATACGAAATAGGAACCTTTGAGACACAAGGCAAGGGCTGTACTAGTGAGTTATTCTACTGTTTTATCCAATTTTTAGTACGTAATTTGCACTCACGCCTTTGGGACGTGTGATTGTGTGCACATCATATGCCATAATAGTTGATAGTTTTGTTTCTTTGTCAGTAACCCGTTTCTATACCTGAGCATTTTACCATTCAGCAGACTTTCCTCAGGTGAGATAACGAAGTTTATGAATAGGGGTCTGGAGCAGAGAAAGAATTATTTCTGTTCTCACTAAAAGGCCGGAAGTTTTCCTTTCATATCAGCATCGCAACTCTTTTTAGCGCCCTTCATAAAAGAATGAGCAAACGTATTAACAAGAGGCAGTATCCATGCCAGAGAATTTTGTTAAAATTTGGTATGAACGAGTTCGTACAAATATCTCTTGAAACTTGTGTAGTTTCGAAATGTGTCTCGTAAACAAACAAAAGGAAACTCAAACTACGTCATGTGTATAAATGAGAAAACACATTATTAGGGGACGGAAGACACACATGAACATTCAAACTGTAATCGCCACTAGATCATTTCTGGTTGAAAATGTAATATTACCTTCTCCGGCCTGAACAAACTCGAATAAATCTTTCATATTGCCTACATTAAAAGTGCGCAAGAAATCCATCTCCTGACCCCATGTTCGTGTAAATGAGAATATTTTATCCACCTGTCGGGGTCACGTTTATTGATCGCCCTATAGCTGTTCATGTTGTGTTAAACTTCTTCTCGAACATACAGAGATAATCCGACGAATAAGCGAAACGATTTGTGCGGAATGAACGTCAGAAAGAAAGGCTCCTCTGTATGGGTCGATAAGAGACTGCGTCCCCATGGCAACCAACGGGCACCAGGCCAAGGTTGCACCCACTGCCCGGTCCCAAGCGATGATCGGCCTACACAGAACTACTGACCCGACGATGATACGTTGCTACATAATGTCCCGATGCCACGAAGATGATTCACTCCCTAAATCTGTGTGTGATGTAAATATGATTCTTTCATCAGCACGTAATTTTGATGCGGTTGGTATGTCCTTAGTTCCAGTGTCTGAATTATTGGAGTTGAAGCACCGAACAAGATTGGAAAGTTGTATTCTTTGGAGTATACTGACATTCAAAAGGTGTTCTTCACACCAGATTACATAGGTAATTGTTACACTAATATGATCCAAGACCGCTTTTCCGCAAGTGTGTTCCAACATTCTCGAGACTCGAGATTCTTGAGTCAAATCGTACATCCTTTGTAATCGGTTTAAGACACGTCCTAGTTATTAATAGCTCAGCCATTACTAACAACAATA